CTGGAGGTGGCCGGAGAGATGGTGAAGGCCATCGGAGAAGAAGAACCAGAAGGTTCTAGAGAGAAAGAGGAGAGGAAGAGACGGATAGAGAGAGAGAGACAGGTCTCGAAAAGGCAGGGATCAGGGGGGGGGGTAGGTGAGAGTTTAATTAAGGAAAAGGGATCTGGGCCGTTGATCTTATTTGATCAACGACTCAGATTAGTTCGGAGTTGGGCCGGGTTAGTTTAGGGATTGGGTTGGGGCGAATTTGGTTGGGTTTTGGTAAATTGGGTTTAATTAAATCTGATGGGGTGGGGTTAAATTGGGGCTAAAATTGAAACAATAATGGGCTATGTGTTAAATAGCCAATTTCCCCCTTTTATTTTATCTAAAATAGTTAAAATGATTTTAAAAATAAATTTAAAGCAATAAACTAATTAATAATATATAAATATTAATCTAAAAATACTGGAAATGATTTTACAATTGTAAAATGCTATTAATCGTAAAATAGGTTATAATTGCAATTATATGTAATTAGCTTTCAAAAATACCAAATAAATTTGTAAAAATATGCAAAAAACACCTTAATTATACTTTGGTGTAAATATGAGAATGGAAATAAATTATTCACAAAAATGATAATTTTGAGAGCAATTACTGGATTTTGTACTGCTAAAATAGACAATAAATTGATTTTAAAAATCTTAAAAATTAGGGAAAAATACCAAAACTCTTGGGCATGCTTATATATGCATACACATTCTATTTTGAAAGTATTTGAGTATAAAAAAAAGACATAGGGAAAAATATCAACAGTAGGTGAAGAGACTGTTAGACGAGATAAGAGAGTGGATTGTGTGTGATTTGATCGTGAACGGGGAATATGAGGGTTGGGGTTCTTTGGGAAGAACTAGAGGAGTTGTGTGTTTTGATTTGGGAGTGAGGGTTTAGGTTTGGGCGTGAGTAGAATAGAAGAGGGAGAGAGATATCAGGTTATGGTGGGGGGGGGGGGATAATTCATATATTACAATTAAAAGACAAAACAATTAATAAAAATAAGTAAAATAAAAAAATTAGCTTAAATTCAAGTGGCAGGCGAAACGATACAAGCGCGGTTCAAGCGCGGCCGCGTTTGTGAAACAAAATACTTTGCCATATGCGCGGTTTGAGCGCGGCCGCTCTCCTGGGCGGAAACTTGAGTCAGAATACTTTGCGATATGCGCGGTTTGAGCGCGGTTCATGTGCGGCCGCGACCTGGGCCTCGAGATTTCTCAAATTTTTACCTCTCTCTTCAGCGTCGGATGAACTCACCTGCACTCGTTAGTACTTACAACAATCAAAATAACAAATTCTAACTACACTAAAATCACTACACATTGGGTTGCCTCCCAACTAACGCCTTAGTTAATGTCGTGGCACGACAAATACAAGAAATCAATGGGTTTCCTCCCATGAAGCTCCTGATTTAACGTCGCGACACGACGCAAATAAGCGCAATTAAGGTCCTCTCATCTTTTGAGGCTCGATCAAATGGGTCACTGACACTTTCTTTGCTTCCTCTATGCCCACATAATGTTTCGGTCTATGCCCATTGACTCTAAATGTGCGAAAGTCATTACTCGCAGCAATCTCTACTGCTCCCGTAGGGTGAACTTCAACTACACAAAAAGGTCCTGACCATCGTGATTTCAATTCGCCTGCAAACAACCCCAGACGCGAGTTGTATAGCAATACCGTATCTCCAGGTTTAAAATTTCGCTCAATAATGTTCCTGTCATGTATCATCTTTATTCTCTCCTTGTATAATCTTGTGCTCTCGAAAGCGTGATATCTGAACTCATCCAGCTCATGGAATTCTGTTACTCTACTTGTTCCAGTTGCTTCACTATCAAGATTCAACTGTCTCAACCCCCACCAAGCTCTATGTTCCAACTCTACGGGTAAATGACACGCCTTCCTAAACACCAATTTGTATGGCGACATGCCAATTGGAGTTTTGAAAGCGGTTCGATACGCGCACAGTGCATCATCTAACTTCCTTGCCCAATCTATTCTAGTTGCATTCACAGTTTTTGTTAGCACACTCTTTATTTCTCTATTTGAGACTTCCACTTGCCCGCTTGTTTATGGATGATACGGGGTGGCCACCTTGTAGCGTACATCATATTTCTCCAACAACGTAGTAAAGGCTCGATTGCAAAAGTGAGTGCCTCCGTCACTGATTATTGCCCTTGGGGTGCCAAATCAGGTGAAAATGTTCTTCCTCAGAAAACCAATTACCCCTATTGCATCATTTGTAGTGAGTGCTGCAGCTTCCACCCATTTGGACACGTAGTTCACATCGACGAGTATGTACTTGTTGCCATATGAGCTGACGAACGACCCCTTGAAGTCGATTCCCTATACATCAAACACTTCTACTTCCTGAATTGGGTTCATGGCTATCTCATGTCTGCGGGAAATGTTCCCAGTTCGTTGGCATTCATCACAGCCCTTTATCTATAGATGTGCATCTTTGAACAGTGTTGGCCAATAGAACCCTGACTCAAAGACTTTCGCAGCTGTCCTCACTCCCCCGAAGTGTCCACCATATGTGACGCATGACAAGCCTGCAAAATAGAAGACTGGTCTATCTCGGGGATACATCTCCGGATCATGTTATCAATACAAATCCTGAACAGATAAGGCTCATCCCAATAATACATACAACAATCACGAAAGAACTTTTTCTTTTGAGCAGAAGAAAGGTCATAAGGAACAATACTGCTCGCCAGGTAGTTTGCAATGTCTGCATACCATGGCGCTTCCTCGAGAATCATTGTTAGTAGTTGTTCATCTAGAAAGGTTTCCAGAATCTCTTCTACCTTAACCTTCGTTTCAGCTCCTTCCAGCCTGATAAATGGTCAGCTACTTGGTTCTCCGTTCCCTTTCGGTCACGGATCTCCAAATCAAATTCTTGCAGCAGTAGCACCCATCGAATCAGGCGTGGTTTTGACTCCTCCTTTTTAATTAAGTACCTGAGAGCAACATGGTCAGTATAAACAATTACCTTTGAGCCTATCAGGTAAGACCTGAACTTGTCAAATGCGAACACCACTGCCATCATCTCTTTTTCGGTCATAGTGTAATTTAGCTGGGCTCCACTCAACGTCCTACTTGCGTAGTATATTGGATGCATGATTTTATGTTTTCGTTGCCCAAGCACTGCTCCCACAGCGTAGTCACTAGCATCACACATAAGCTCAAACGGTTGCTCCCAGTTGGGGGAAACTATGATAGGTGATGTCACTAGTCTCTTCTTTAATTCCTCAATAGCTACCCTGCAGTCATCAGAGAACACAAAAGGGTAATCTTTTTCAAGCAATTTACACAATGGGTTAGCAATTTTGGAAAAGTCTTTTATATATCTCCTATAGAAACCGGCGTGCCCAAGAAAACTTTGGATTGCTTTGACTGAGGTGGGTGGTGGAAGCTTTTCTATCACATCAACTTTTGCACGATCCACCTTAATACCTTTACTTGACACTAGGTGCCCCAAGACTATACCTTCCTGTACCATGAAATGACACTTTTTCCAGTGTAGTACCAGATTAGTTTCTATACACCTTTTCAAAACTCGCCTCAAGTTCACAAGGCAATCATCGAATGAATTCCCCACCACTGAGAAGTCATCCATGAAAACCTCCATTATCTCATCTACCATATCTGTGAAGATGGCCATCAAGCACCTCTAGAGTGTGGCGGGTGCATTGCACAAGCTAAACAGCATTCCCCGAAAAGCATAGATTCCATAAGGGCAGGTGAACGACGTTTTCTCTCTATCCTTTGGAGCAATGGAAATGTGATTATAACCCGAGTACCCATCCAGGAAGCAAAAGTGAGACCTCCCTGCCAATCTCAAACAACTACCTAAATATGCACTCTCTCTCAAGTAGATACATAATAAATAGGAACGGCTAATTGAGGATCCTTTCAATTAACCAAAATCAAAACGTAGTTGAACAAATAGAGATTAACAACTAACTCAAAACTATATTAATATAACAACCAATTCATCCCCAAAAGGTTCCATCAAAACCCTAGAAAACGAATTAGCTATTCATAATAGTATGTAAAACTACAATACTAAAAATCATAACCAACAATAAAAAAATAGGAAGAGGAAGGAAAAAATCGTAGAAGAATTCTCCGCCTTGCTCCCAATGTGTTCTTGCCTCCTTAGGTCGAATCTATGTCCAAAATATGTCCCCTTTTCTTCAAAATAGGTTTAGGACCCCTTTTATACAAGTTGGAATAGTATAGGGCCGAAATAACCTTGTCCCGGACGAAATAGAACTTCTTTTTGACGCCTGGAGCGGCACGGCCGCGGCCAAAACGCGGTAGGACCGCGGCCAGACAAGCTCTCTGATTTTCTGCCGCGGTCAGTTCCGCGGTCGCGATTTCTACCGCGTTTATCACCCTGTTCCGTTTGGAATTTGGAAAAACGTAAAACATAAAAGTTGTAGCCCTTTGAGTTAGCTTTCCAACCGTATATTGTGGAACCCAAATGGAGTTCTGAGCAAAACTTTATGTCTATTTTACTAGACAGTGCGCAATATACCTCATCGAGTCTTCGTTTGTTCTCAACTATCAAATTTGACCCCCGAACACGATCCCGGCTTAATTCCTTGAGCTTTTACTCAGACTTCAAAGCTTCAAATCACTTAAATTCATTCCATAACATCTATATAGCTCGGAATCACTCCTACAAGGCATAAAACATACAATTAGTGCAAAACACTAGCGATTAAAGCGCACACTCAACTAAAGTGCAGTAAATTAGAGTGTAATAATCGACTAAAATACGGAATTATAGCCTATCATCAACACCCCACACTTACACCATTGCTCGTCCTCGAGCAATCAAACTACACTTTTTTTTTATAGACACGATCTTTTTAAACAATTCTCCTAACGCAGCACACCAAGAGTATTTAAAATAGACTAAGCACAAAAGCGTAACATCTTCACCTTAAGATTTGACTCACAAGTGCCACGCATTATTCACAACTCACTTACTTATTCTAACATAGAGGTCACTGACATTACCTTTCCTTCATGAATCAAATGCTCTCATAACACAAGAGAGTAGTTCCACACAATAAAATTTAAGAACACTTAGGAACTCAAGATAGAAAGAATTCACTCACTCTCAGAAATAACATTCATATGCACAAAAGATGCACCATAAGCTTGCCCGTAGTGTACTACTCCACTAATCGAGCTCATTCAATCTTGGATCAATTAGGACTTTATTTGGTTGTAATGTAGGCTACGGGACGGGTAGGATACATTTAGATATAAGAGTGACTACACCTCCCTAAGCACTTTAATACATACATTTTAACATTTAAACCCATACTTATGTCAAACCAAAATTCCACCTTCACATCAATGTAAATTACCCCATTCTTCTTTAAGCACACTTACGTCAAGAACCACCACTTATCAAGAAATTTTTTTTCCCACAACAATCCAACTATATATTTTTTTTCAATTCAAGTGGCTCTTCCTTTTTCAAAACAGTGCACCTTTCTCCTTATTCAATTAGTTCCACTCAAAAGCCAAACCAACCACCCCACACTTTAACTTTTACAAAGTTCATAACAATTCAAGTGCTCATGAGAGGTGAAAAGGTTTAAATAGATGGTTAATCCAAACAAATGGGTAAGGCTTGTAATGTGGTTGCCAAAGAAAAAGGATTATAGGCTCAACGAGGTTAACTACGATACATAACAATTAGGTGGGTAAAATATACATATCTGTCTCAACAAGAAAACGCCTATATCACTTCCAGGACTGAACAACACTACTATTTCGCTTTGCAAACACACGGGGTAAGTTCTAGGCATCAAATGCAATGCACAGAATAACACAAAACCTTACACACACATGGCACATAACTCACTCAGGATTGGATTCATCAAGACACTCTAGTCAAAGCAGTTAAGCAAATTTAAGATCATACAATTTAAGGTACTTATACAAGAGTAAAAAACTGAGCCTAAGCGTCACAACCAAAGTACTCACATTCTCAAGGCATAGCAAAGTCAAGAGATATTGCTTCATTTTAAAACAAAACACAATGACTCCTATTCCAAAAAAAAGCAACTACACCCGGTTCAAATAAAACCCTTGGAACAGAACCGTGGCACAAAGAAAAACCAAGGGGGAATTATTATACTACCTACAAAAAAAATCTTTTTTTGTTTTTCTTTAGACTTAAATCCCTCAAGAAAATTATCTAATAGATTCATCGTCGGGAAAAGTCCAATCTTTTAAAAAAAAACTATTTAATTAAACTAATACAGCTAAAGTAGCATGAAAAGTCACCCAGACAATCTCATCACCCCACACTTAAAATTGTGCATTGTCCCCAATGCGCATCATAACTAATAAAAGGGTAAAAGAGACTCCCTGATAGGCCAAAGGCCGAAGCACTAACAACTCATGGGGTACTCAGATTTCTCCCAAGCTTGGTCCTTCGTGCGGGTACCTCACACTTAGTTCCAGCCATTTGGTTTGCTGTTGCATCCTTCCAATACCTTTTCTTTCCATTCTCCTAAAAAAATAAAAAATTGACACTACAAAAATAATACAATTAAAAAAAATAAAATAAAAGAAAGCAATAAAGCTGGGTTGCGTCCCAACAAGCGCTTGATTTAACGTCGCGGCACGACGCGAATCACTTTTTACCTCTACCTCGAGCTTATGAATTGAACCCCAAGTTTTGCTTCAAGCTTATGATTATGCTCTTGGGGCGCTACAAATTCTTGCAAGCCAAAAATTAGATAAAATCTTATGTACTTGTTGACTCTCGACCGAGGAGTGTCACCTTGCCTAGACGGCCTTGAGAAATCCAAAATATAAGGCTCATCTACCTCTTCCTTGGACTCCTTTTTATGCTCATAAGGGTGAATTTCCATTTCACCGTCTGAACATAATGTAGAGAAGTGTTTGGAATGAGGCCCAACGCGCTCAAATACATGAACTTCAAGATTTTTAACCTCCTCAACACCAATCACACTAGAGTCAACTAAATTTGTATCTTCAACGTCCTTGGTTGACCCTAGTATTACTTCTTCAACATTGACATCCTCAAATTCTAGTTGGCTAGGTTGTTGATGTTCTACTCTGACCTCCCTAATTAACACCTCAAATTCATGCTCTTCTTGGCTACTATCCTCAATATTTGCTTGTTGAGCATTAAAAGCTCCAACCACTTGACTCAATTGAGCCTCCAACTTGCGAATAGTTGCCTCTTGCCTTTCTATGTTCAATTGTTTCTCATTGTTTTGTTCCAGAAGGTACTTTAGCATATCCTTGATCTCCTTCAAGTCCGCATTCCCAGGTTCTTTGTTCCTATTAACTTCACAAGAAAAGGTAGAACCATCATAGTAAGGGGTTGGGGGAAAATAAGAAATATAAGCACAACCATGAAGGTGACCATTTTTACCACCACAGACATCACACACATTCCACAAATAAGATTGAGTTGGTGCACATAACTCGCTCTTAGGAACGTTTTAAAAATTTTGCCACGGGTGGTTTCCTTCACAATATGTATGGAGATCAATAGTATAATTATCTACACCTAAATTCCCATAATTCCAAGATGCCATGTTTCTCAAATCAACAGTTATAAAAAAATTACAAAAAAAATAAAACAAAATAAAAGTTCAAACTTGAACCCTAGCAATATATACAGCTACAACTACACTGTTAGTTCCCCGACAACGGCGCCAAAATTTGATCACGCCCAACTATGCCTTATAAAAAGGACAATGCGGTCGCTGCAAATATAATCCGGTTTACAAGTCCGGAGTCGAATCCCACAGAGAACTAAGGTTTAGCTACAACTGTTCACTATCACCAAGAAGACAAGCTTGAACAATTCCTAACTTATAGATATTAAGATTCTTGTGTTTAACTACTTAACTAACAAATTAAAATAGTAAATTAACAACTAACGATACTGAGGGTTAGAGAAAAGATTAAGGAGGTCTAGAGTTATGATTTTCCCAATTTTCGGAATCCTTCCCGCTATGTCTTCTATAATTTCGCCTAAGTATTCTCTACCGA